GACCATCTCCAATGCTTTTTTGGTCAATGACCATCTCCACTTTATTTTCCTATTTTTGACTCTAAAATGGAGAAAATTATAACATTGTTTTACTTGTTCTCCAATATAACTCTATTTTAGAGGAATTGTTATATTTACTCTAAAAATAGTAACTCTCCACTTTATCTTCTACTATAACATGACTCACGCGATGCTCAAGTTTTTGTTTTATAATTTAATTTAAAAGCAAATAATTTGATTTATCTAGTAATTTATGTTTGAACAATCAATTTTTCTTTTCTGTAAATGAAGAATATTATTTATCTTGAAATTAAAATTAATTGTTCATCTTATCTATAATGCATGGACATGAAAATATAAAGTGATTTTCAACTACTTCGATATTGATGCAGAGAAATAACATTCATAATATTTGTTTCTTTTTTAATTGACTATTGTTTCAGAGATCATTATTGTTTACTAACTTATGATCCAAAATAAAGTAAAAAAGAAATGAAATATTAAAGAACTCGATGATAATAAGAAGATATCATGTTTTTTTAGAGTCCAGTATATTTCAATCATGAAAAAGACACAAAAAACATATATACAATTCAAATGTTTGAATCCAAACGTAGAGAAAGAGATTGCGTTGTTCCTTGAAAATATTGAGAATGTTATTGAGTTTATTGAATTAGCTTTAATTATATTTATAATCCACTAATATTCAATTGAATTTATATTTTAGCCAAATAACTACATATTAAAATCTATTTACAAAATAAAAGGATCATAAAATAGATTATAACTAATAACTTTGAAATTTATTTTCAGTTTTATTTGTAAAACAATTTAATAAACGTTTTTGTAGTTCTCTTAAGGTTATAAAACAAAATAATATTAAATAGGTTTTCATTAAAATTAAAAGACAGAACACGTGGAAGCTTCTCAAAGCTTTACGTTTAACGAAACCTTAAAATATTATATAAAATATATGGAGGAAAGAATAACTTTTTTCTATTATAGAGGTAGAAATAGAAGTGGATTAGTGGGTTGGAGATGTCCTTAGAGTAGTTTAGTTATACTGTTATACATAAACTTATCTACTACAATAACTCTATAGTTATACTAATTGATTTCCTTCTTCTAATCTATCAGCAATCGACGACGCAGCCTCTTTGACGTGGCAAGTGGCGATTGTTGGCACCCGAACCAGGATAATCGTTTAACTCCATCGCCATCCTTTCCTTTGCGTCCGTCTTCACATCCTAACAGAAAAAAACTTTTAGAATTTTTTTTTTTGTTTTTAAAAAAAAACCGTAATTATAACTTGTCATGAACACATACATAACTTGAGAACTAACCAGTAGTGTATCTTGTTGAGAAAGATAAACATAGTCGGGCCTCTCCATCAAACTCCCAAGTCCTGCAGAGGTACAAAAGAAAAAAATTATATAAGTTAAAACGTCATATGGTGAAAATATTTATCACATGAAAGAAAATAACTAAGAGATGAAGATATACTCGAAGCATTGGAAGGGAAGAAGAAGAAGTGAGATTGCATCAAGAAGAAGATCATGAGGAGATGTAAAAGAGCTTTGTTGGCCATTTGGAGATGATGATGATTTATGATAAAATCAATATGTTAAAACCTTAACTTTACTGTGAGTTTTGTCGTTGTAGTGGTTTCTTCTATAGTTCCCTTCTTTCAGTTTATGCATTTTATACTATAAGCATGGTAGGATGGACTTTTTTTTAATCATTAATTGAGAAAATTTGGTGGAATCCAGTAAGTAAGTTTTTTAATCTGATTTGGAGGGTTATAGCCTTTTGTCAAACCACCATTATGTTTGTTTTTTTTAGCAAAAACACCACTATGTTTAAACTTAAAAAACAAATGAACAAACACAAAAAAACTCGACGCGTTTATAGTTCCACGTTTATTGATATTTTCTACTTTGAAATAAAAAAAAAATGTTAATTTCATTGTTCGAGTGTTCATTTTGATTAGACGG